GCATGAAGGGCAGCAGACAAGATGGTGGCTTCCCCCTCATCCTCCCTCCTCCCGCCAGGGCCTCTCCACCAATCAGTGCCAAGGGGAGGGACCACATGAAGGGCAGCTAGCAGACCAAATGATTGCCACCCCCTCATTTCTTCTCCCCTGCTAGAGCCTCCCTGCCAATCAGTGCTGAGGGGTGGGGCCAGCAGAGCACAGCTGGGAGATCTGAAGAATTTGCTCTTTATGCCATGACCAACCCACAAAAATTGTTTAGTCTTACTGCTAGTTAAATAGGTGCCTAACTATAAATATGGAGAAGTCATTCAAAGACCTGGAAAGTTACTTACCTTACAGTAATTAAAGGTTTTAAGGGTTGTCTACATACATAGTCCACAACCCATCTTTCAACCTCCACTTGCTTAAAGACCTGCATACTTTAAAATTCTGCAGTTGAAAGGAAACTGAAGAGTGGTAGGTGCTTTCATGCCCTTTGCATGGAGCACAAGAAGCTGGAGGATGGATGTGTTCAGGTAATGCAAGCACTTGAGCCAAGAGTTAAGATTAGCCAGATGAGTAAATGTAAAAATTAAAAACATTATAGAAGAAAAGGGAGGCAGTGTGACCAACCATATTTTCTGTGGATGCCCTAAGAAATTAGATGATGGAGTTAATCTGTCCAGAGTAGATTTGGTTTCTTGCTGAGTTTTAGACTGGTTAGAGAAGCTTTGTTGTTTCGCTGGGTAGAGTAGGAGCTGCATTACAGCTAGTATCTATTGCTTTCTGTGTTAGTTGTATGCACATACTAGAGTGATACCCAAGTATAAGGCTACAGGATGCAGTGAACAGTAGGATTGTAGGAAGGACTTTTTACAATAAGCAGGGATGGGAGGCAATGTTGTTGGTATCCAAGTGTGCTGCACCCCTCCTATACCTGAAGTTAGGTATGCTTTGTTCCACCTTAACACTAGCACTGCCTGAACGCATACCAGCAGTGCCTTAAGTGGCATGATTAAATTCTGTTGTGTGGTTTGTATTCTGTTTCTCTGGAGGGGAAAATCTGCATAGGCAGCGTAGCATTTTTAGTTGTCGTCTTAAATGTATGTGCCGCTATGTAAGTACATTAGAACACATCAAAGAACTCCACCTTTTACACTTAGAGCAAAAGTTGGTGAGATTTATGGTGCTGCTTAGCCTGGTGGTTCCTCGGTTGTTGACTGCCCTTCAAGAAGATTGTGTTGTGCACAGATTGGCTTCCCCCTGATGCTGGAAAGTTCTGTCCTGCAGGGCCCAAGTCAGTAACCATGTCTTCATTACAGAACTTCAGTCAGGGATGTTCGACTTTCCTGCAGCTGGGAGTCGCATGTGGCCTGCAGGCTGCACATCATGTCAGCCCCAAGCTGCAGGGGTGGAACACTGCAATCCCCTACCCTGCACTGTGTGGGCAATGGCAGAGGTGGCTGCGGGGGCCAGCAAGCTGCATGCTGGTTCCTCACAGGCTGCCAGTTGGACAGCCCTGCTATAGGCAATTTACTGAACCCAGATCATTCTGCACCTTCAAGGTGCTCAAACTTGATTAACGTGTTTATGCAGGAAGTCAGATATTTAAAGATGGCTGCTTTGTGCTTGCAAGAGAGTGTGCTGTGTCAGCAGTATAAACTACATTTTGTATTAATTGGTTTCATGATGACTGAGGGCTTTGTTTTCATGGGAACTGTGTTTTTGTCACCAGATAAAGAGGTGACAAAACATTGGACAGTGTATCTTGGCCAACCAGAGAGAATGTTGGCGATTTTGTTCTTTGCTACGTCAGAACGTAGCAGCAATAAAGAACCCAGAGGTCTCCTAAACTACAGACTGAACTATGAATACATCTAACTAAAGGTCTGCCCTATGGTTGCAAACTTCAGTCTTGCTCAGGTTCAGCTTTTACTCGCTGCTGTTCATCCGTGACCTGTTCTCATTCAACTATTGCACTATCCTGGTAAGCCATATCATAAATAATCTCACGTGGTTCTGCCTTTTTGTCCACTGGTAGCCATGCTGTATTACCAGATCACCTCAACAGCGTGAAGCTCTCAGAACTGAAGAGAGAACTGTTCCTTGTGAGTCTCCCTAAACTAAGGGGTTAGTACTAGAGGTACAGATTTCTACTACTGTCTGTAGGGCACATTCCTACATGAAACACCTTTCCCTGAATGCTGTGATACTGGGTCATCATTGGCTAAAGCCAATGTATTAGATCCTTTCTAGAGCAGTGTTTATCAGCCTATGGGTCGTGACCCAAAAGTGGGTTGCAAAAATATATTAAAGGGTCATGAACAAACTTTAAAAATGGAACAGCAAACTTTAAAAATGGATTCTCCTTTAAAGAAGGAAACTCTCTGGCTTTTCCCTTGCAGACTGGCAGAGTTCCAGCCTGCAAGGGGCTTGTTGCAGGGGGCCCATGCCCCACATACCCACCTCCTGCTCCCTACACTGGGGGGCTTGGACCCAAGGGCCATGACGTTGATGTTTACAAATGGGTCCTGGTACAAAAAAGTTGAGAACCACTACTCTAAAGGATTTCCTTAGTATTGCATCCTTCCCTAAACAGAGTATTGGCAGTAGCATAACTAAGATGGGTGACTGGGCAGCAGCCTTAGGCCACTCCCTCAGGGTGGTGAGGGGTTTTGTGCAAAAACAGCTGCTGTGGTGGTGGCTGGATGCTCTGCCATCATCGGCAGCATAGCAAGTGGTGCTGCCCTGTGCACTAATGGCTGCCTAGGACGTGGAGCTGCCTTGGTGCTGCACCTCTGGGCAGGGTCGTCCCTGGGGGGGCAAATTGGGGCGAGTGCCCTGTGCTTTGGGGGGCCCTACAGAGCAGTGGTGGCGCAGAGCAGTGGCTCCGCATCTAGCCACTTAATTCCCCCTCCACCCCCAGCCCCCACAGCAGCAGCTTCTTGGGGTCTGGGGATCAGAGCAGGGATGGGGCCTCACATGGGCTGATTTGCCCCAGGCCTCACACCCTGCTCAGGTTGGTTCTGCCTTTGGATAGTGGATATTAAATTAGGAGTGACACCAGTTGTTTACAACTCTCTCACTAGCCCAGAAAAGAAAGGGTCTAAAGCATAGGCTTTAGGTTGAGGTAAAGCATCTATCTAAGCAGAGGCAAAAGAAGGAAAAGGAGAAGCCTACTCTTCCCTGCAGAAAAATCAGCAACTTCTGCAGGCGGATCTTTGCCTCGAGGAGTGTTGGACTCTTAAATCATGTCCAGCCCCTTCAATGAGCTATGGTAGAGATTGTCCTCAGGTGGAGGAGTTGCCAACGATGACTTCTCAAAGAGTGAATATACTAAACTTAAGGACTGTAAACACGCTATTTGTTGACTGCTTTAGGGGATATTGGATCCATGCTGTTTGAGAAGTCTCCCTGGATGTGTGACCTTTTCAGTGAAAAAAATAATAGCATTGAGCAGCCAAAGACTGGTTTCTGTGGTGTTAAACTACTTGGCTGAAAGCAGTGGTTTACCACCACTCTTGTTAGTTTCTTTAATATAGGGGGCAGGTTTCTAAGGAGTCAAGGGGAACAGTCTGCTAGCCTGTAATCTCTGATCAGGGTGGAGAAATCTTACTTCATGCTTCATTTCTCATCAAGGGCATACAAGCTTCTCACCTTGATCTCATCTCTCTAACAAGAAGAAGGAAGGTAAGGAGCTATGTATAGCAGTGAGAAGGAAAGAGCCGTACCAGGGCTGGCAAACACAATGCTTATACAGATCCTTTGTGGCCTGGTGGTACCGTACTGCTGCCCTTTAGCTAGCTTTGGCATGTGCCAACATCTAAGACTCCTGCTACACGTTACATCTATTACACAATTAGCTGGTTAACCGTGCATTAAATTTAGTTACTATACGTGCTGGATAGAAATGACTATCAAGCTGTGGGGGGAAAAAACAAACGCCCAAACCCAACCAGCTATAAAGACAGGCCTTGACACTGTACAACACCGCTACAGCTGCTCTCTCCAGCTTTCATTTGAACATGTGGCAGGGCCCTCAGCCTGCAACGAGACGAAGTGCGATGGCTCAGGGGCGATGCGCACACCCGTGTTCCCGGGCTGGCCCCAACAGGGCCTGCCCCGGACCGCTGCGGAGCGGCAGACGCCGGGGCCGGC